ATAACAGATATTAGATGCCAAATTTAAAGTAAGAAATGTAKTTTTAGTTAAACAAGTTTTACACAAAATATAAAAGTTTTCTTTTAATRTAGTACCAGATATTTTACTTTGATAAAGTACAAAAAGTTTTCTCAAATACAATAGTTTTTAAAAACAGCTAGTAGTTTGTAGATAATTGACTGATTCTATATTGACGAAAAAAAAAATTAGTTTTGAAATAGTATCAAATAAATGATAACAAACAGCCGTTGAAGTAAAAATGTCATATTATATTATTGCGTAATATATTGTATATTTAAATAATCAAGTTATGATTGAAATATAATATTATTTATTCTATAGGTATTAGACATGTTTTAAATGTTTACATAAATATGTTTTAAAAAAGACTTGAAATAAAGTTGCTTGTAAAAAAAAATAATATCAAGTTATGTACCTGTATTTAATTAGTTTTGAAACTGATTTGGAATTCTAAACCACTAAACATTTATAATCGTTATAAATAATTTAATTTAAAATGAATTAATAATGTTAGTTATATAAAATTAAAAATTTATAATTAATATTTCCAATCAATTTAAAATTCTAAAAGTATAATAACAATATCCTACATTTTACTATTATAAACAATAGGCATTTAAAACAACACAGTATTTTTCGAACATTTAAATGCATATTAATTAAGTAATTTTTTGTATATTGCTTGAATAAAAAAAAAAGTATTTTATAAAATATACTATACCTATGYCTATAGTTGTACTCCAAATAAAAAATAACAAAGTATAATTATAAATAAAATAAGCTCCTTGACGGTTCTATATTTTAAAGGAAAAATTGTTTACTTTGTCTTACATGTGTAGTGTGTACAGAAACCTACTGTTTTGTAACAGTTTATTAGGCAACCAATACCATACGGACTAAAGGTTTTGGAATTCATAATATTGTCTTAACGCGGCTCCCCCGCGGTGTACCAGTTAGCCGTATAATAATGTATATAGTATATACATTATACACATTACACAATATACAGCTAACGATATGTCGTAAACTATCAAATCCCCATAAAGATCCCTGTTAATGATGCCAATGACTTGACAAATCTTATTGRGTATACAAGAAGGGATCAAATATAGGGTCCCYTTTTTATTTTRAAAACAAAAAAAAGGAATGTAACCATTGTTGAATGTTTTAATGTTTCGGTAAAAATAGAGAGCTAAAATGAGTATAATGTTGTGACGTGGTTCATATTATAATTTTCTTTTATAATTTTTATGGACACTGTTTGGAGAAACCGTAAAAAATTAGAAACCACCACGTCATTATTATAATGTGCACTGCTAGTCAGAAGTCAATGTTTATAGTACGCAGGGTATAGCATTTTTTACGAATTTTTTTATGAGCCGTGAAATACTATTGTAGTGGGATTTATCATAACGTTTATAAAATAAAAATAATAAAYGTTATAATATAAGGGCCGTCTGCGAGTGACAAGACCGACGTTGTTGTGTACTGGAAAAATTCATCCAGTGCCATAGACCGACGTCAAAAGCAATAATTTCCACCATCGTTTTCAGTCCTCTCGTCGCATCCGCCGGGACGTCTTTATATCCGTAAACCAATAACGCGTAGAGCCTATAGAGTCCAGTCAAATCCCGTTATTTTGCTGTTCTTTGGAATCACGAAATTAAATTAAATTCAACGGGCCTTAATGGACGAATAGCGCAGATTATGTGTTAGCCGCTAACAATTATTATTAAAACAAAACCTCCAATTGTACGTTCGAAAAATCTAAATAGCAAAATTAATGCGTTTATTTAGGTTCGTAATGGTTGAAATAAAAATAACATGACATTGATTATATTCATAATTATCCTCAAAATKTACATACATTTCCATTAACGGTACACTTTGATTCATAGATAATATACAAAAATAACACTGAATTTAATTAGTTCATATTATAAAAAATGTAAACGTTAAGATTAATACATAATAGGTAATACTTAAATGGTGTAAAAATATTATGTAAAGAAATAAAATATAAAATAAACACTTTACCTATAATGATCACATAAAATGTCATTTTTATTTAATAATTTTGCGTGAGTGTATATTATTTTTAGTAACACATTTTATGAAATTAGTTAATTAATGAAAAAAGATCTATTTTTTTTTTTAGTTATATCTATTAATAAATAAATAGGTGGGTATAAGGAACATTTTTAGGTAAAAACGAGTAGGTAGCAGAATCTAAAATATAATTTATTCATATCAATATAAAGTATTTAAAATGTAAAATATTATTAGGAAAAAATATTGTTATGATTATTATTATTAAGAGCAATAATTTAAAGAAAAGCTTTTAAAAAAGGGTTCATCGTCTGGTGTACTCAGTGATATTAAAATCAAAATCAAATTAGTTCATTGCTTTTACATTAAAATTAAAACATTATGCACCTTAACTTCAAACTGATATGTATGGGATGTATAAAACCGTTAAGAATTTAGTTACATACATAAAATATCCGAATATTTTTTTAATTTAATAAAATATTATCAAAATGCATAAAACACATTGGTTGACTAGGTTACAAAAAGAATAATGAAGTATTATATATATATTCATGAGGCATAACTATAAACTATAAAGATAATCCTATATAGTCACATTTCATCAGTCACTTTCATAAACAAACATTAATTACYTTTTTTTTGTTTATTTGCATTATGTCAGACGTCAGTATCGGATTTCGTCTTATAAAATTGTCATTTCTCATTATGTCCCATGTTTCTATTGCAACTTAATTTTTACAAAAGTCTTTGAATATTGTTTTTATACTTGTAACTTGTTTTTTGTATAGTTATATATATTATTTAT